TTTTTTTTTTTTAATGAGTTTAGGAACTCGAGAAACGCTCAAAATGGTTTCAAAATGGCCATCGAATAATATTCCTCGGAGTAGAACACCTTGAAACGTAATTCTCTATCTAATCGCATGTTCCTGAGTGCGTAGTAAACTCATTGAAAAAAAAGTGTCGCGGCCATTTTGTCCATCACTGCACGTACTGTGCAGATATCAATCAAAGCTACCCCATACAGCACCAAAGCTTTCAGAAACATTTCAGAAAACATTGTTGCAATGTTTCAATGTTTCTGAAATGTTTCTGAAAGCTTCGGTGCCGTATGGGACACTACCACATATACAGCTTTTCTCTTGGCCGGGCCAACAAAATGTCGGATGCGTAGAAGGGATCGACGCAAAACGAAACAGATGACAGAGTGAGGATACTAGTTACAGGCCGGTATTCATAGTCAAATCTTATATTCAAGACTGTCTTAAGATCATCTTTAGATAAATCCAAGACGATCTTGAATATAAGATCAGACTACGAATACCGGCCACACTATGGTAAAACTTAAGGCTTGGATTTATCTAAAGCTGATCTTAAGACAGTCTTGAATATAAGATTTGACTATGAATACCCGCCACACTATGGTAAGACTCAAGACCTGGGGAAGCGAGCAGTGTGAGCAGCCATTTCGAAACTTCAGCAACGCTGAAAATTCCGATTGGTTGAAATTGCCAGGTCTCAAGTCTTAAACCCAATCTACCGTGCGCTCTTTGCGTCTGGAAACATTCTATTTTATATGCGCAACTCGAAACGCTTAAAAAATTTGCCGACAACGTACGATGGTACGATTTATCAACTCGCACAAATTTTGTTAAACGTATTTACTGGCTGCAAAGTCGAACGTTTCCAGACGCAAAGAGCAAAACATTGTGGATTAAGGCCTGTGCTGCTCAAGCTTCTTTCGCGTGTCTCCCAAGTTAAGACACGCGCCCGAGAGATCGTGCGCAAATATTATCGCGCGCGTTGATAACACGCGTGTCGTCTCGTCGCGGAAGCGTCTCGCGCACGTTTCGCCGGGATGCAGCTCGCCGAAGACGCCTCGGGGAGAGACTCGGAGAACCCGGGGGACTACTCTCTTTCTCTCTCTCTCTCTCTCTCTTTCCCCTCGCCCTCTCTGCCCCGAGACGTCGTCGCTCGGGACGACGGAGGGATGCTGCCTGCCGTCGTTCGGTTATCTCTACGTAACGTATGAGCGCCCGTGCGAGATTGCATCGCTTGCACAATGATGCCGCCGTCGCTCCCTCGAGCGAACCTATCGCAAAACGTGCGCCCCAAGGACGGGCACACTTGAACATTAGGATTTAATTATTTACCGTAAGATCTAGTACTTACGTATTACAATTACATTGTGGTATAATTAATTCCGTTTAAGCGATATATACATATAAATATATAAAACTTCGATATATATATAACTTCGATATATGTATATCGAAGCGAACTCGTATTTTGTATGCGAGTCGCGCGCGGCGAGGGACCGCGAGTGCCCGCATATTATCGTCTCATTACTAATATTATTATAATAAAGCACACACTATGCTCCAAATGTTATTATTATTACTGCTGCTCTATTAATCTTGGAAATTTTCTTTCTGTTGCAGTGGCGTGAACGCGTGTGATTGTGTGCGAGTGTGCGTGCGTGAGAACACCCCGTCCCGTCCCGTCCCGTCCCGAGTCCCGCCGCCCCCTGGTCGCCGTGTATTCACCCCCCCAAGAATACCGTCGACCCCCATCGTCCCTGGCGCGCCGCAAATGCATCCTCGCCGGGATGGATACGTAAAACCGACGTAAAACCGATAGATACGTAAAGCGCCCGTAATTCGATTAAAGACCCCGCCGCTCCCGACGGGGTGAATTCGACGAGAGTCGCGGTTGAATCGGAAGAACGATGGTCGCCGGAAACCGTATCTTCCTCCCGGACAATTTCGACGCGGAACGTTAATTGTTTCTTTTTTCTTCTTCTTCTTTTGCAACGTGACTGCAATATTTAACGGCGCTGATCGCAAAGGTTTAACGAAGCTCAAAGGATCTCAACAGCGCGCGCGCGCGCGCGCCTGATCTACGCGGAATCTTTTTTACTCCCCGTCGTCGGTTTTAGTATCCGCGTCAGCCTTTGACATTCAGTCGCTTATAGAGTTTGCGATTCTTCTCGAGGGGGAGAGAAGTCTCTCTTGCCCGGACGCGTCGTCTCCATTCGTTCGTTTCGCAACGTTAATTGCAGCGGGACGCTTGATCTCGAGTGCGGCACCGGGCGAAGTAATAGCCGTTGCCCACGAAGCGATCGAGCGGGCATGACCTATCGAACATCCACCGGCTCCTCGCCGTTAGGCCGGGCCTTAGTCGCGAAAGCACCCCCGCTGAAAGTTACCGAACGTCTCTTCTTCTTTCAGGCGTGTCTGGCGGAGGGTACCAGCCGCGAAGCGTGTTGTGCTTAACGGCACTATTAGAATAGTAGACTAGTTAGTGCTTTAATTATCCGCTAATTGGGTCCCGGGATTCGTCGGGAAATCGGGGGATTCTGGAAGGGACTTTAAGCAGCCATGGGGAAACAAAACAGCAAGTTAAAGCCGGAGGTGCTGGAGGACCTCAAACAGAATACTGAATTCTCAGGTGCGCCGCTTCCTACGGATAATTAACAGCCTTGAAACCTTCCGACGCGCCGTACGGCGTACGCTCCATCCTTGTTGCCGCGCGTAACGACATGGAACAATTAAGTTTCCCGTTTCGAGGGATAAATCAAGTCTCCCAAATGAGCATCGGGATTACGACGAAAGTGCGATAGACGTGGTTTACACCCGGATATACTTGTGCCCGGAGCGCGCGTCGGGAGGTTTGCATTTGTGCAACGTTAAGCCAGCAAGCGTGCTAGGCTCGACGTTACCAATAAATATTTAACCCGCGGATTTACGCGCGGGTAACGTTAGCGCAGCCGGGTGTAAGTAATATTTCACCTTGCTTTTCCCCTTTGAAGATGCGGAGATCCAGGAGTGGTACAAAGGGTTCTTAAAGGATTGTCCCAGCGGGCACCTCAGCGTGGAGGAGTTCAAGAAGATATACGGGAATTTCTTCCCTTACGGTGATGCGTCCAAGGTAAATTGAAAAATCCCGGACGAGAGAGCACCGAGGACTTGCGCGCGCGCGCGCGCGGGCGGTAATCGAGAAATTTATTAGCATATCGCCCGCGCGCGGAATTATTTACGTTCCTGAAAAATTTATTGCACGACTTCCCGCAGTTCGCCGAGCACGTATTCAGGACGTTCGACGCAAACGGCGACGGCACGATCGATTTTCGGGAATTTCTCTGCGCCCTCAGCGTAACGTCCCGCGGCAAGCTGGAGCAGAAGTTGAAGTGGGCCTTCAGCATGTACGACCTGGACGGCAACGGTTACATCTCGCGACAAGAAATGCTGGAGATCGTGACGGTACGTATGCCAGGCCGTAAAATCTGACTCGCGCGGGGGGGGGGGGGTGAACGAGGTGCCGAGATACGTAAGTGTGCGGCGATTCACGGCGCGATAAATTTGCCCCCGAGCTTAATGCACGGTCGACCGTATCGCTGCTCTTCCATGTTATTAAATGCATTTCGTGGACTTGAGAATTTCCCCGCCTCTGCTCGCGCGATACCAACGTTTTATGGCTTTCGGCGGTAAGAGGTGATTTCAGAAATGTCAATGCTCTCTGGACTTATGACACCTAAAAATGGCCTTTCATTAAAACTCTGTTCTAGATATGCGAAAACCTTCATTTCATTTCTGATAGGGAGAAGTTGACTCTGCCTTTCTTATATACTCGTAACATATTCGTTCGCAAAGGCCCGCGTCCGCGTTGCCAGAACTTGGTCCAAGTTCTAGCTTCGAGGAAATAGTGTAGCCAATCAACTCGCTGCTTTTATGGAATAGCTGCAAGTTGATTGGCTACACATTTCTCGAAACTAGAACTTGGGGCCAAGTTCTGGCATCGCGGACACGGGCTCTAATGCACTTTTCATATATTTTACTCTTACTGGTAGATCTTATAGCAATAGTATTGTTGGCGTAACATCATTTGCATGCACTATTCCGACCTTTGTATCTTATACAATCGATTGGAGAAGATGCCACTTTTCGCTCGGACTGCATCTTGGTAGTGTAATAACAATAGTTCTATGTGAATCTTCTGTACTTTTTCTAACTTGGTAAACGGCGCGCTGATTATTTGTCGGCCTTAAAACACAGCTTTCGTTGGAACAATAATACACAGTTGAAAAATTGTCCTCAACTCACATGTCCCAAACGGTCCACATGAATTTTTGTGTTAATTTAACATAAATAGATATATGTTAAATATGTTAAATAATCACACTAATACTCTGTATAATATTTTAACACAAACAAATGCAGATCTCAACATAATTTGAAATAAATATTGTGTAAAATTTACATATTTTTAGTGACGAAATGAATTTAAAAAATGTAATTTTTACATTTTACAGATGTAATAAGTCAAATGACGGTTCGAAATCGCTCTCACTCGTGTTATATGGAATAAAATCAACATTTTATTCTGTAAATTTTAACAGATAAATTTTATTACTAATAAACTAGAACACATGTATTGTGTCAGATTAAAAAATAAGTACACATCGTGTTGTTTTAACATTTTTTTCAGATATTTTAATAATTTTACATTTGAGGTCAATCAACACAAGAGCAATATGTTGAATTAACACATGAATGTGTTAAACATTTAACACAAAAATTGTAACCGGCATTTTTTCTTAACAGGAAAACGCAAATTTTCCAACTGTGTACCACATATGTACTTTAAATCGAGTAATCGGTTTATTGTTTATGCTAATAAGTGTATTAAAAATCACTGTAAAGAATTTATGTCCGATATTAATATTTTAACGCATAATAATATGTGTAAATAATATTTCACGTGGAATAATATTACGACGAATTATATTGTTGCGTGTAAAAACATTTTTAACGTGTTTTACACGTGATATTTCGTGTAACGTGGCAAACTTTAACATTTTTTTTTTTTAGAACTTTGAGACGGTCAATTTTAATTTAATTAGTCTCATTTTGCACGTATTGATGTAAAGGATAAACTGTAAAAATTTGCAACAATTCTCACACAAATGATTTTACGAAATAACTACCTTAAGAGAAAATTCCTCTCCGTGTACGTGCGTATTATCTTGTGAATGTCAGTTAATTAGCGTATAGTGTCATGAATTTTTGTATCATCGTTGTGTCTCGTTATCTCTTTCGGAAGCCGATGCTTCCCGACGTACGTAATAAACTCGATCTCACTTCATTACGGACGTTGATTTCAGGCGATCTACAAGATGGTCGGCTCCGTGATGAAGATGCCGGAAGACGAGTCGACGCCGGAGAAACGAACTGATAAGATATTCCGACAGATGGATAAGAACAAGGACGGCAAGCTATCGCTTGACGAGTTCATAGAGGGTGCGAAGAGCGACCCGTCTATTGTGCGACTGTTGCAGTGCGATCCTAGTGCACAAGCTCAGTGAGACCCTGGGCCAATACAGACAAATATCGATATGCCATCTGCATACCTGAATCGGTGCCCGGCCCAATTGGTATCCCAAGCGGAGGCGACGCGATCGTAGAGAGCTGGGCCGCACCAGGCCCGGGTGGTCCCGGGCGAGGAAGCTACCGAAAAAAATTATCTTCGCGGCCGTTTGGTTGTTTTGCGTGTTAACGCCATTACATTAGACACTTTTACTCATAGAATGCGAACGTCTTATTCGTCAACAATCCCCCGAAACGAGTTCGCCCCACGTAGCATTCCTCTTTCGAGGATAGGAATATCGTTGCACGACGAAGTGCGTTTGTTAAACGAGCGGACAGTCGTGTAGGTTTTAATTGTGCGTTTTTGGATCACGTCCGACACGGAAAACATAGGAATTCGAAAATACCGATGTTAGAGGGAGAGAGAAAAATGGAAGTTTATTTTCCAATTAACAGCGGAACACGCGATTAGCGCCCTCGACTTTAATCATTTGATGTCGACTAGAAAATTCGTTGCCCGAAGATATCATTTCGGCGGTTTCCTGCAGATAGTCTACGGTCGCGTGGGCTCATGCGCGAGCACAGAACGCGTAAAGGCTTGTATGAATTGGGCCGGTATCCCCGAGAGGTCCCAGGGTCACTGGGCCCATGGCGCTTGCGCATACCGCAAGCTAGTCGACAAGACTAGTCCAGTCGCTCCGTTTCATTGACGGATCGGTTTAGCGAGAAGCTTGTTACGCCTTCTTCGGGTCGTATTTAGAGAAGCGCCGGGCGCGCTGCGCCGCGCCGCCCATGCGGCGAACGCCATCCGCGAAAGAGAAGAGGACGTTGCGTCGACGCCGCGACGACGTGTCTCGGCGGCAGGCCGTGCGGCTCGGTCGGGACCGAGACCGGTTCGAGACGAGTCGCGAGACGATTTGGCGAAATTCTAAAATACTCTCTGTGTTCCCGAGAATGTTGCGATTTTTCATGGCACCAGAGAGCGAGCGAGAGCCTCTGACGGTCGGCGACGTTCCGTCACCTTCTTCTTTCCAGACAGCGAGAGCGTGCGGATCGAAACGTCGCGCGTCATCAGCGGAACTTTGCACACACCAGATCGTGTCGCGGCATCGACGCATATCCTCGGACCGCCGATCTCAACGTACGGAGGCGGTCTCGTGAGCGGTCTCGCTCCTTCGTCGTCGTCGTCCTCGTCCTTGCGCGTCGCCCCGTCCCGCTCCCGGTGGTCCCCGATACACCCCGATTGCGGGACTGGACAACGCCATGCGGGTCCCCACCCGGCGGGGACCACGCGGTATCGCATCCCCCGCCCCTCCCCCTGCCCTCCCACACGGACCCCGAGTGTGTCTCGCCTCTCGGCCCACCCATTAATAAACGGACTGACCCATTCAACGGAAAAGACTCACAGGAGACTAACGGCCGCGCGGCGTCCAACCGCCGCGCGCTAGCAACGAAAACTTTTTAGTGATTTAGAGACCCGCGAGATTTTCAGGGCAAAGGTCACCGGCGAGGTCGCGACGTCGCGCGAAACGGCGGGACGCGGGCTGCTTTGCTTAGTTAAACGCGCTTAGAGAAACCGATCTAGAGCTTGGACATAGGCGGAAGGGAAGAAACGCGGGCGCTGCGCGATGCAACGTGGAGCCGTCGCGCCACACGGGCCTCGCGTTGCTCTCACCTTCCCTCGTTGAAGGTGCTGCGGGGCTGTAGGGGAGGCTGTAGACGGGGAGAGCGACTAGTCTTTCCGTCGCGACGCTTCGATTTACGACGTCCGCCTCGGCGAACGGAGAGCCGCCTGTTTCGCCGTCACTTTGCCGTTTCCGGTGACCTTTGTCGTCACGGAGGTACAGTAAGGACGGACGCAATCGTACGCGAATAACAGATTTGCCTCTTTCTAAATCTCGCTAAGGGAAGTGAAAGGCACACGCGACCCTTGCCGATGCAGAGCGACTGGCCCTCGGCTCCAGCGTAGGCCCCTTCGCGCCTCGCGCCGAGCGATCGACGGACGAAGAAGAGGTTGAACTTGATGGCGCGCGCGCGCGCACGCCGTGCCGTATTTAGAGATTTATTTTTGTGAATGCGTGCGTCCCGCGTACCTGTGAGAGAGCGTGCGAAAGAAATTGTGCGTATGTATATGTCTGTTCTGTGCGTACGCGCGTGTCCGGTAGATAGAGAAGCGAAGACGCGTCGAAGAAGAAAATGAGGAAGAAGAAGAGGAAGTAGAAGAAAGGAAGAAGAAGAGACGGCTCGTGACGCGAGCCTTATCGCCCTGTCGTCCGATTATGTATCAATCGACCGATTGATCGCGATTATTATACATACATAGATATATTATACATACTTATGTATTACTGATTACGAAAATAGGAGAGCGGCGCGAAAGGGGGCTCGCGGGCGCGACCGCCGCGCGGCCGCGATCCCCGCCCACGCGAATATACACGCAGCAGCAGAGTTTCTGACGTTTCACGGCGAGCTCGCCGCTCGCCGGTCCGGGGAGATCGATCAATTACCGAGGAAACCCGGAGCGTAAGCGATCTACGCTTCTATATTTTTTTCCCCCCCGCCCCCGGCGTGTGCGACAAGAGTGACTTCCGGCGGCTTCTCGCGCAGCCGCTCGTCGAGAGGACGTGTCTTCACTGGGTTCAGCTTCGCCACTCGCCTCTCTTTCGTTCCGCGGAGGTTTTACTCGACACCGCGTCTCCTCCCCTTCTTCCCTTCCTTCTCAACAGTCTCTCTCGTGGATCGGTCCCTTCGACCTGCGCCTCGATCGGTACCTTCGGGAAGGGAGAGACCTTCGTTGCGCTGCGCGCTCCCAACGAGGCACCCGGTCCGACAGTCGCAATGTTCAGAGTGCGGCGGCGTAATGAGGGGGCTCTGAAACTTTTGTTACGTTCGGCCGTTACGCGAAGCAGCATTTGCGTTTTGCAAGAGCGCGTTATACAGATGCAGATATATAAATATATAAATATATATATATACATATAGATAATACAAGTCTCTATTATAATATATCTTTATTGTACTTTCTAAGATGTACATCTATTTCACCTCGTGCTCATTAATATTTAAGGATGAAGACTATTTAATGATATCTCTCTAATCTCTCGGTATAGTCATTGTATAAACAAATAAATAACCTCATTAATGTTAATGCATACGAATATATTGTACACGTTAAGATTCTAAAGCTATTCTTGAACTTTTCCGGGTCGCACTAAGCGAAACAGATTTTATTCTGCGACGAGATTATCAGAGACGGCGGCGAAGCTTCGAGCTTTACGGACAGTAAGAGGTAGAGTTGCGTTCGTTGAAAACGAAATCCATGTTACTGCATATAGCATGTAGGACTGCCAATGCGTCCCGTTAAAACTTGACGGCAGTCGTACACTGAGATGCACTTAAGATTGTACCTTAAAGCGAATTCAAGAAAGCAATAAACACGAGAAGATATCGCGACTAAGTCTCGCACGGCTCGGATGAGGTCATAAAAGTCCCATGATTTTTCGAATTTGGCTGCAATCCATTTTACGGCTCTTTCTCGTAGCGACGAGCGCGAAATGAGCGATACAAAAGTTGTGCCGATTTATCGGTACGCGAGCGGTATCGAGGCGATCGCGATTGGTAACGCGCGTGGTCGTCCGAGTAAAGTAAGACAATTTTCCCGCTCCGAAAACTATTCGTTCCACTAATGACGTTACTTTTGAAAATCTCGTTCCTGTGTAACAATCCGCGCGCGTCTCTTTTTTTTTACCGAAATTTCATTCGATGTCGAAATTTCCTTCTCCAGATTTATGCCCGGTTTCACCAACGTTGTTTAACTGTAAGCTTAGCTTGATTCGTCCCTTTTTATCTCTTTCCAACTGTTACTTTAGAAAGAGACAAACATGAATTAAACCAAGATTAAAGTTAAGCGACGTTCGATGAAACCGGGCCTTGGGGTTTATCCAGACAAACTTGTATATGCATAAGGAATCTGAAGAAATTTACACCGAAACAATAGCCATCTGTGTCCGCATTTGGCTTTCGTTTTGGCAACGGGGTCTGTAAAACCCACGCTGTCAACAGATTGTTGGCAGAAACCGAGCAGGTCCAGTTACGTGAGCAGATTTTGTTGTATTTTTGCTGACACGCTGGCGACACGTCGAATACATCAGTTCCTGTATGCAATCTGCGGTCTTTCTGCCGTCAAAATTTGTAGTGGGCACTTGACGAAATCTGTGCTGACGGATTTGGCTATCTGGGCAAGCGCATAAGGAAATAAACCAATCAATTTCTCGATGCATATATGCTTGTGCACCCGTGCAAGTTTGTCTGGATAGACCCTTGAAACTGCTGTCTTCAGAGAGACACAAGGTGCACATTTTCTCATCGTTTTCATTTACTTTCAATGAAACTGTAAATGTGAAAAGCCGTGATTATCCTTAGGCATAACTAATATTATATACTTTTGCGTCCTTACAAAATACTCTTGTACGATGTAACGTCGATAAGAATACTTACGTAGGTGCGTGGATCTTGCAGCGTTACTGCTGGTAAAAAGAAAATCAAAAGCGTGAACGCACTTTCCCATGCTAGAGTATAAATATATTGTAAATCAGCGTTGATACGTCTAGCTTTGTATAACACGATTTCGCCACACACGCTAGAGGATAAATAAGTCGCGCGAATTATATTCGCAAAATTCACTCGTCATTTCGATATTATAACGTAAACTGTTCCGATCGACGTTGCATTGTCTGAGGAAATGTAGAATAAGTATTTATCGACGAACCACGTGGGTGCGGTGGAAAGCGCAGGATACGAAAGCGGCAAAACTAATCTTGCCTTCCGTTATCGCAAAATCGACTCTGCAAATAATTTGATAAAATTCGCTGCTTTCATTTAAACCAATGAGTATTTTCGAAAAACGCGAACGCCCACGATATATTGGGTCATCCCGTAAGTAAAAGCGGTTTTGTTATAGATATTTGTGAGATGAAATAGAAAAAACATTGGAGATATCAATCTTAATCCCCAAAATAATACTCTTTTTCCATCGTTATCTACAACTTCTGTCCAACTTAATCTTGAATTTTCAATTTCCTGACGGCAAAAGTCCTTCGGTCTTGAGCTGAAACACAAATCGAGCATTTTACACCGGGATTTATTTAAGGGATGACCCGATGAATGCGAATCGAGATGAAATCCGCGCGTCTGCTCGTTCTCTGCTGCGTGGGCGCTGGTTGAGATGCGAGCGTATGAAGCTTTGTCAAAAGACATTTGCTCATCACGTCTTTACGTTCACAAATTTCATATACTTCCGTCTACATCAAACGACGTAAAAACTCATGAGACATCTCAAAAGCGCTTTGAAGGATTCTCGAAAGAAAGGAAGAGATATATCCGAATATTTATTTATTAAAGTTAAAAGGATCGATTTGTCAATTAATCATCTAGAATCTTCTTACCTCGATCGACGCGATCAGTGGAAAATATTGGTAAAGAACGCCGGGTGGGCGTCTTCAGAAGTTTCGACGAGACCTCTAAGACCGTTTAAATGGTGCCTGAAAGACGAGGACGTCTCTTAATTTTAACTCGCGTTCTCCGGCTGATTCTTGCGTACAAGCGGACGCGCTTCAATTATGTATCCTTTCGAGCGTTCGGCACCTCCGTCTTTCACGTGGTGTTAATAAACGTTTAATCCCCCGACGGTCCGTTCCTCGCGGCGATCGCTGGATCAGTTATGCGAGAGGGAACCAATCGGCAACGTTGAAGCGGGGCGACGTTCAGCTTCGTCCCTGATTGCGACAATTGTTAATTGAAATTCCGAGAATTTCACTATGTTACATGCAAATAGAGTCTCGCTCTTGAGGCGACGCAGAGAATTTTTATCGCTAGCCCTAATCTTAATGCGCGAAGCCCGGGTCGCTTCAGCGCTCTCTCTTCTCTCGGTGGTTCTCTCGCGCGCAACTACGTTCAGCAATCCGTCGCGAATCTATAATAGAGAAACGGCACCGTAAATCGCGATAACATTGCAATGTAAACGAGCAAATCCCAGGAGGTGTCCGTCCTTTCATTACACTCAAAAAAATATCTTACTGACGCAGGTAGATTTCTAG